GAAAAAAAAAAAAAAAACATGCAACCCCTCGTAGTCTTCCTAACCCCTCTGCAAGTATGATGATGGGCTTCCCCACACTCTTCCCCAGGGCTGAGCGATATTAGCATATCCCAGACAGAAGGACGAACAGGAGGGGAAGGATGATGTGGAGGAGCTGAAGTGGAGAGCGATGACATAGAGAAAAAGGGCATGGAGGAGGAGAAAGATGAGGAGGAGAGAGAGAGAGAGAGAGAGGTAAACAACATAGAAAAAGGGCAAAATGGGTATCAATGAAGAGAAAGATAAACGAAATCACCGTCGTAGCCTCCTCCTCCCCCGTTTCCCCTCCAGCTTCTTTACATCAGAGCATCCTCATCTTCCCACCCACCCCCCTCTCGTTATCATCATCGTCATCTACTCTCTCCTCCCAATATATATAAAATGAATTGATATCTTTTTTGTTGCCTCCTCAACGTCCACCCAATATATTGTCACACAGTTATCAGAGCGCAAAAGCGAAAAAACAAACAAACAAAAAAGAAAACAAAAAAGATATCACTTCATTTTTTATCTTCTTACTTACAACTCCCCCTGTTCAGAACCTCTCTTGCGTACAAGCCCGCCCACGTGGATCTTCGCATCATCATCCTTTCCCCATTCCCTCCTCTTTCCTGTGCTCACCTGGGGCCAAGTCCCACTAGCAGCGTTGAGCTACCTCAACGCCGGAGATGTGCAGAAATGGTGTTGAGATTCCTGAACTGCACGTCTCCGCAAACACGTCCAGATTCAGGCGTTGAGGTAGCTCAATGCTGCTAGTGGGACTTGGCCCCTGGAGGTAGGGGGGATATTGGCCTCAACGGCTTCCACATTGAACTGGACATATGCAGAGGCTGACAGGGAGGAGGACGGAGCGGAGAGAAGGATGACATGAAAGAGCCGACACAAGAAACACGTGCAGGAGGAAGACGTGAAGGGGGAAATGGGAAGGGAAGGGATATGGTAAAGCGAAACAGAACTAAGCAAGCCAGCCAAATGAAGCCGCCATAGCCCCCTACGTCTTTTCCCATCCCGCTCTTCCCTGCCGTCAGCAACGTCATGTTCCTGCCCCGCCTCCTCCTCATCTCACCCGCTGATAGCTACCAAAGAACTACCTCTCTCTCTCTCTCTCTCTCTCTCTCTCTCTCTCTCTCTCTCTCTCTGTCTCTCTCTCTCTCTCTCTCTCTCTCTCTCTTCTGTGCGTATGTGTGACACAAAAATCAACAAAACTTGGCATAAGCTGGTCGTCTGGAGTGAACCAACGACGTCATTGAGAGGATCAAAGGAAATGGGACGCAACCAGAGCGGGGGGGAAGTCTGCAATGACGGGAGCTGAAGAAGCCGGAGCTTAGGTCGACATGCGGAAGAGAGATGGGTGAAGTAGGTACAGAGCCGATATTGCGACAGGATGTCGAAAGATGGAGAGTCGAGGGCAAAAGAGGGAGGGGGAAGAAGAGGAGGAGAAACGATAAGATCGCGGCTTACCTCTTTCGCGCGGAGCTGTTCACCCCACCGCCTCTTCGACCAAAAAAAGAAAGTTCTACTCCTGGCGTCTTCGAACATCAATCTAGAGCGGCACACTGCTCATGTTTCGCCACGGCCCCCTCTCTCTCTCTCTCTCTCTCTCTCTCTCTCTCTCTCTCTCTCTCGTGTGGCAAGGACAGCCCGTCCCCGCCCCTTCCCCACACACCCACACGCACGACCGCGCACACACGCACAACCGAACGCACAAACACACAAACGCACACAACCGCACCCACGGACGCATGCACCACCCCTACCGTAGCCCACGCCGGTACAAGGTATCCATACTGGTAGGCGCATTGTATGTCCATCGGGGCCGTTGGCCTGGTGGTACCGGGCCGACGGCGTGGATTGCTTGCGGTCCCAGTACCTCTCCCTGCTTGAAAATCACATACGCGCCGGTGAAAAAAAAAAAAAAAAAAAAAAAGCGCCGATATATTCGGGAGCCTAGAGCGACGGGAAGAAGGCAGTGGGCCCTACGGTAGGCAAAGGGACTACAAGCTGTCCTGTTGGTTTGTGCCGTGCATGTGGAAACACATGGACGGAGGCTGACTGCAATTGCCTGAAACAAAAGTAAGTTTGTTATTTATTTTTATTTTATTTTTCTTTTTATTTTTTTTATTTTTTTGGGAAAAAGCGAGAAATTCCATTAACCAAACTCTGAGGCCGGGAATTCCTCACAAACAACCCGGAACGACACAATCTGCCTGGGATAACCCAGAGCCACTGATGGGGGACCAGCCCCTACGACTCAAGTGGGGATTCCAACCCCAACAACAACCAAAGAAAGCCAACCTGAAAACCAATAAACTGATCGAACAACAATCCTACTCACCCTCTACTCCCTCTACATCCTCTCCCTACCAATGCACTACTAACTTATGTATTAAGTTTATAGTGCCCCAACGCTACAGACCCAGTCTCCCTTCCTACCTACTCTCAGGTCGCCTATGCGGCGACTGGAATCTAATATGATTCCATCTAAGGCTGGACACTCGCTTCCTTCCCCTTACCCTCTGCCTTCCTACCTGCGGAAATCCAACCGAGTGCCCTGGTTTGCAGAACTAGATCTACCCTCTTTTTCGTTTTTTTCCTTTCTTTTCATCCCTAACTCTTGTCCTTGTTCCTATCTTAACTCAACAGCCAGTCCGAAAAGTATAAACTTTCCCCATTCTTGACAGTCACCAGCTTCCCTCTTTGCGCCCAGGTGTCCTGGAACCATGCAATGCCTGCTGCCCTCCCTCTACCGTTGGGTACCTTTCTTCTCCAGTCTGCTGCGATTACTCTCCGTGTCATCGCCTTGAATGTCGCTTTTATCTCTGGGTCCGGCATGATCTTTCCTTCAAACATCGTTCTGTTCCTTTCCTTCCAGATGATCCAGAAGCCTACAGCTCTGAGTGCTTGGGCTACATACCCCCAGCCCTTGCTTGTCTGCAAATTTTCTGGAATTCCTCCTAATAGCACCCACTCTTTGTCCCACTTGAGTACTCCCTCCGTCCAGCCCTCCCACTGTTTGGCCCACCACTCCCAAATTCTTTTCGAGGCAGGATAGTCCCAACACACGTGCACTGTTGACTCAAAGGTCCAGAGGCATCTCTTACATTGACTGTCGACCTTCATCCCCTTGCTCATCAGCCATACCGCCGATGGTGTCGCCAGCAGGGAGGCTAACCACAAGATCGAAGCAGGCCTGGGGTTTGGAGCATCTGTTAACTGAGCCCAGCAGTTTTGCAGAGCCTGACCAACTTTCTCCGACTCCTCTGGATACACCTTGCTCCACCTCCTCAATGCTGTAATCAACGGGGTGACCGCTGGAGCCTGCACCTCGCAACCCAGAGTTAATGTGTACTCATCCAGATGGACATGCTCGCCCCGCCGCCCTCTACTCCTCCAAGCCCACTGGTTTGGGTCAGCCTTTAACCTCGCAATTGGTACCCCTGAGTTCCACAGTTTCGCCTTCCAAACTCCCTCCTCACTTACCTCATCTCTAACTCTGACTTCCACTAATGTTCCTGTTGGGACTGAAACCAGTTCTTCCTCCTCATTAACCTTTAGTTCCCCTTCCATCCCCACCAACTCCCACTGTTGATACCTTCGCCCTCCTTGTTCCACCACCTTCAGAAAGTTGCGAGGTCTTGTGTTGTGTGCTTCCTGAACTACCTCTTCGTGCCATGTGCCTGGCGGATTAGGCTTCGCTGGAGACATGATAATTTGTCATTCCTCTGGGATTGCCCCCAGGATTTGCTCCCTCCTCTGTCTTATATACCTGCAGGGTTTCAACCTTTCTTCCATCTCCTCGCTAGTCTTCCACGTTCCCGTTAGCTCATTCCACATATCCCTCAATCTGACGACCCCATGCTCCACCCACGCTTTACCGTAGCTCCCTGGCTCTGAATTGGCCATCAACATTCTGCCATCTGCGTCTAATATGCGTTCTCTCACAAATTATTTTTGAAAACCCTCGCATATTAGACGCAGATGGCAGAATGTAGATGGCCAATTCTGCTTTGGACCGGGGATCACACAGCATCTCCGGTTTGACCCTCGCCCATGCTTTCAACACCGCTTGCCAAAACTCAAACTTCAGTTTCCTTATGAGGAACGAACCGATGCATACACAGGCCCACACGTCAGCCTTCCTTTGCAGTGACCATTCCCTGCACAGGATCCGCTCTCCCAATTCTATCCAATGTTTATCCCTCTCTGTCGTGATGGCATGGACTACCCACCTGGCTAACATGGCACAGTTCCTCCTTCCAGGGTCCACCATGCCCAAGCCACCTTCATGCCTGGGTGCACAGATCAGATCCCAAGCCACTTTCGACATAACCCCTACCCCCTCCTCCGCGTACGGTTTCCAAATGAATCTGGTTGCCTTCCTTCTGACTATCGCCTGGGTCTTTTTGCCTATAGGTCTGACACTCCCAACATACGTGAGAAGCGCAAATAGGGCTATGTTCACTATAAGGGCTCGGCCAAAGAGCGACAAATGTGGTGTTTTTCCCCAGGTCGTCATTCTTTGCATCACTCTTGTTTGCAAGATTTCCTCCTGACGCAGGGCACATGACGTGAGAGCCACCTGGACCCCAAGAAACCTTTCCGACTCATCTTGCCGGATCCTCTTCATCCCCCAGTCCACCGCTGGTGCCAGTTGTGCTGGCAGAAAAAAACACAGACTTGGACCAATTGATGGCTGCTTCCGACAGTTCCTCATATTGCCGGAGACAGTAACGTAACGCCGACATTGACTCCCTCTTATTCGCCGATACTGCAAACAGATTGTCCGCTAGAGCTTTAACTTTGCAGGCTCTGCGTCCCAGATCCAATCCGACTGTCTGTGCATGCGCCCTGATGTTATTCAGGGGGACCTCCAGATGAATCACAAACAAGAGGGGGGCCAATGGACACCCCTGACGAAGTGAGCGGGACAACCGGAATGACTCAGAGATATGACCATTTACCATAACAGCTGCAGTGGAGAGAGAATAGAGCGCAATCACCCAATTACAAAACATGTCTCCAAAGCCCATCGTTCTGAGCGTCGTCAGCACATACGACCAGTTCATCCTGTCGTACGCCTTCTCCATGTCCAACAGTAGGACGACTACCTCCAACTTCTCCTGATCCACCACCTCCAACACCTCGATCGCAGTCACAATGTTCTCATAAATGGATCTACCCTTCACAAAGGCCGCTTGATCATCCTCCACCAACAGCGGCAAATACTTTCCCAACCTGCGGGCCAGCGTTTTAGCCAATATCTTGTAGGAGACATTCAACAGTGAAATTGACCTCCAATTCCTAATTTCATTGGTGTCTCCTTTTTTAAACAAAATCGAAATAATACCTTTGCGCGCGCTAGCCGGCAAGCTTCACCCCATCTGTACTTCATTATAGATTTGCACTATATCCTCTCCCACCGCCTCCCAATGCTTCCGGTAAAGCTCCACGGGCAGCCCATCGAAACCTGGGGTCTTCCCATTCGCCATCGCCTTCAGAGCGGCCCCCGCTTCCTCCTTAGTGATTGGTCTATCCAAGTCGAGACATCCCTGTATCGACAGTCTTGTTGTTGTATTCACCCAATGATCTGTGTTGCCCGCCAGGTCGGTATCTGCTCCCTGTTCTGGATTCCTTGACGTAAGAATGTCTCGAAAATACAACACAGCATGTTTGCATATCTTTGCGGGGGAGATTGCTATTGGCTCCTCTGGGTCAAAAGGGTGTTTGAGTTCCTTCATAGCTGGACCGGACCCAGCAGGCACCAGTTTTTGGAACGCTTCCTTCGACATCCTGTCATACACTTGCAGACCCTTAATCTTCGCCCTTTCCGCCCAAAGCTCCGAGCTTTCCTGCTGTTTCGCATCCCACTCCGCCAGCCTTCGCACTCTTTCCTTCCCATACGTAAGCTCTGAGATAGGATGGTCTTTCATTCTGTCTTCTGCTTCCTGAACCTTCCTCCAACACTTTCTCTCCTCCTTATTCCTGTTTAAGGCCAGAATACGTGAGAACGCGTCCAACAGTTTGGAGAGCACCCCAATACCCGTATCCCACTAGTCTGCCAAGGTGGCGAACCGCTGCTTCTGCCTTCCCACGAGACAACTTCATTCCTATGTTGAAGGTGCCAACCACAGGTTTATGGTTTGAGGTAGGGTTGTTTGTAACGTGGATGCTCACCAGCCCTTCTCTCACCTTTCCCCCAGTCAATAGGAAATCTAGCTTCCTCCCTCTCCCTCGGTGCGAGAACCAGGTATACTCTGGGTCCACCGGGTAAGATCTCTAAACGAGTCCTGCAGATTCAGTTCCATCATCACGTCCACTAGAGCCAGAGTGTCCTTCGGACATCCCTTGGAACCCAGGTCCCATCGTGCATCCAGACTGGTATTTTAGTCAACTCCTACTATCATATTGTCAACGTCCGGTAGAACTGACCCCAAATCTTGAAAGAAAACAGTCTGCTCCGCTCTCTCAACTGGGGCATACACTGAGGCCACTGCCCAGGTACAGTTTCCTTGTCGTAGGACCACCCACGCCCACCTCCCCCATAGATCTGCGTAATAATCAATAATATATGCCCCCAAGTCTCTATGCACTAAAATTTCCACCCCACCTTTCGTACTATTTGCCGCCGACCACAGCTGCGGGCCGTCCCACCATCGCCCCAACTCTGCAATCTTCCTACTGTCCAATTTTGTTTCCTGAAAACAGGCGACAAATATTTTGTGTTCATGCAACCAAGCCTTCACCCGAGCTCTCTTGTTCCTTCTTGTTGTATCGCCAAACCCTTGCAGGTTCCACGTGGCTACCCGAATCTTAACCATTGTACGGAACTGCCCCCCGATGTACCTGCTCTTGGATTGAGGCTGACCCTTCCGTTGACCAGCTTTGGGTGAGAGCTAATCTCACGAAACTCGAGTCCAACTTTTTCTCCTTCAGGAGGCAGATCTTCAGCTCTGAGATGACGTCTGCCGGCGCCATAATAGGAGAGATCATGATCCGAGACAACTCCTGTTTCCTTGCCTATGCGAACACAGCCAGTGGAGTCAATCTCAAGCCCATTCCTTCCAATTCCACTAGCTTGTTCTCCGATAACCTGGCATCCACGATAGGGACATAGAGCTTCACCTTGTTACTCGCTGGACCGAAGAGGATCCTCGACATCACCAAGTCCGGGATGAGTCTTGATGGGAAGGCATCCAGGTATAGCGTTCGCAGACAGTTTTCGACCTCCTGGACCGTTGGCAGTTCCGAGACCACTTGTTCGAATAGTAGTTGCGAGCCTAACCCTTTCTGCCAGGTAATCACCCACAGCGCACCCCGAGCCGCCGTGCATACTAACGGAACGAGTACTTGTGTCATCTCCGAGCTCTGACTCGATGCCGCTGCCAATCTTCTATCCCTCGTTGTCTTTTTTCCTGGGGTCACTGTCCCCACGTCCCGACTCAACGATTTTTCAGATCCACAGTTTGACCGCCTTGACGCCCCCGATGGCTCCGCTATGAGGTCTGATTGAGAGGTCGTACTTAGTCGTCTTTGTCTTTCGGCTCCTCTGGTTCTCAATCTTCCCGGTGTTGATAGAGAGCCACCGATTCCAGCTCCGCTTTCTTCCCTCCCTGGCCTGCCCGACAATGGATGAGAAGAGCTCGGCGCCCCACCTCCTCCCGCCATTGTTGGATTATTTTCGGTCGTTCCATTCAGCCCCTGAGCCCGCTTGTCCCAACATGACTTGTAGCTGGCCCTCCAGGTTGAAGCGTAGTCTGATTCAATGCTTGAGCCTCCATTTGCCCTCCTAACAAACCTGCCCACAGCGCCGGATGCACCCCGTTTGCCATCAACCAGTTTGTTGCCAATCCTCCCCCTTGCCATAGCCCGTTCTGTCCCCCATGTAGTTGTATCCCGCCTTGACTCCCATGCACACCACCCGTCCACCCTACTCCCTCCATGAAAGAGGGAAAGCCCCCCAAATTCGCCCCCAATGTCCCCTGCTGAATCCCTCCTCCACCACCGTGTGGGGATTGTACTCCTCTTCGTTCCCTCTGTTGAACTGCCCCTCGGTCCAGTGATTGTTGCTGTCCATTTCCAAAACCTCTTGGGGAGAAGGTTGGGTTATCGCGCATCAGTCCTGGTTGAGATGTTCCCTGAGACGGGGCCGGGGTTGTTTGCCTTAGACCCATCGGGCCTCGATAGCCCGCCCCCTGTCCCCCTCCGTTCGACGAGGAAGCCTGATTCTGTTGTCTGCTTTGATCCGGTCTTGCTGAAAATGACGTTGCTCCGCCAGTCCTTCCTCGCGTACCCCTTCTGCACTCTTCCTCCGTGTGGAAGAATTGCTTGCAGGTTCGACACTTCGAAGTGCCCGCTGTTGCTAATTTAATTTCAAGTTCATCCCCTTTCGACATCTCCACCCATAGCACATCTTTCATGTTCCCGCGAGCGTCAGGGTCTAAGTTGAATCGGGCATTTACCATCGCTGGTCTTAACGGATCTACATCGGTTGGGTGTGCCTTCACTATCCTTCCTATTGCTTTCTCTATCTGTGCATAGATGAAGGGCATATCGTCTAATGGGATCTGCAGGGCCATCACCCAAAACGTTTTCTCCTCCTCCTGCTTCTTGAGCTCCCTGAACTCGGCACGTGTCATCCATGGTTTAAAGAGAAGCCTGTACGTCTCCTGCCCTAGTGTAATCTCCACTTGACCTTCCTCTATCATATACTTCGCCACCTCCTTTGCCTTTGCTACGTACGAGGCTATCCCTGGTCCCTCTATCTTTATCCTTCCTCTCCTCGAGTTTTCCGGTAGATCTTCATTACCCAGCACCCAGCCGTCTTCGAAGGCACGTACGAGATCGTCCTTGACTTCCCTCTGTAAGAATCTGGCTGCTTCTTTATAAATAACCGTCACCGTACGCTCCTTTAGCCACTTCACCTTGATGTTGTCGAGGGAGGTGTTCAGCTTGAATCTCGCTACCCTGCCTTCCACTACCATCTCCCCCGGATCTATCTCTGTTGGGTATATGCCATCGTCAAAGCACATCGCCAATAATGCTCGAATTCTGTCCTCATCCTCCCAATAGTCCCTTTCCTCGTGGGGGGCAGGCGGGGGGGATCTCCCCGTTCCCTCCCCTCCCGGCGTTGTCTCCATCTTGCCACTCCGAAGTGCACTCTCTTCTTTCCAATTCGCTATGCCCTCCTACTTACTGTAAACACTCCAATACTCGTCTCTCCAGCTGCGCGAGGGGGTTTCCTCCACCAGACAACTACACCTATGGCTAAGACTTCGCCATATCCACCCCGCAAGGGGGGCGAGTGGTGAGCTGACTCCCGAGCGATATCGCGGCGGTATCGTTCTGAACGGCAGCTCGGGTTCTGCCGAACCCGGTAACGCGTAGCGGAGCGCGTAGCGCCGGCTGCACAAGGTCCCCCCTCCGCCGTCCTCCAGAGGTGGTCTCAAATCTTGTTTTTTGTTTTGTTTTTTCCTGGGAGCTTTTTTTTTTTCTTCAATGAAACACGATTCATTATAAACAACAAAACACGAATCGCAGCAAGGAGGAGCCACGCAGTTTCAGTTTCAACAACACATCGTTCAGCCCGAGACCACGTTCCAGCAACATGGCCCTCCAGCCCCCCCAGATCGTCCCTTGCCAAGATATCCTATAGGCCCTCAAGAGTGAGGGATCTTCCGCAACGAGGCCAAGACCCTGCAATTTCCACCAGTCACTATTCAAGACAAGACCGCTGAACCCTGCAGGCCCCGAGAGCAGGCAAGAAAGGGGGAGTAGGAGCCAGGATGGAGGGCAGCCAACATGGAACTCTTGGAGAGAAGCCAACTCCAGACGAACGGACCGTGCATACCAGAGGTCAACACCAAGAACCGAAGACAGCAGACAACGGCCGGACACCATACCAGAAGGGGGTACACTCCAAGAGTTGTCACGAACTTCAGCAACTTCACAATCAAGACTCCGAATAGACAGTGAGTTGGAAGGAGGGGAACAAATGCTGTCGGAAGACCTTTCATCCTCATCTTTGGAGAGCTCTGCAGAGTCTAGACAGCACAGGGAAGGTGGGGTAAGGACAAACAGAAGGTTGGTGCCAGACAGTTACAGACGTGCGGAAGTAGTGCACAAGAACTACTCAGAGTTGGTCAAAAAAAGGATCATTCCCATAGTATGCACTCAAGCGAACGACGGTGCCTACTTCTTGTCCATGGCAGGTCCCAGTGGACAGACCTTCATTCCATCGGCAGAGATCGACTGCACCCCCACACCAGCGCTCATCATGGAAAAGACCCGAATGTTGTACGGCACACACATCCCAGTCAGAATTATCCCAAGCTCCACGATGGTGAATTTCATACTTGAGACCAATGATGGTTACTGTAAGTTCTATTTTCCACTGCTCGATGCCTGAATACCTCCAGAATCAGCCGACGCGCTGACACAGTCTGGTATTCGGTGGAAGAACCTGAAAATACGTGAACGGGGCTCTCAGGGGTTGGAGTCCATTGCGGTGATACCAGGCGGTTGTGCTTTAACTCTCCTGAATGTTAATGAGAAGCTGCAAGAAGAGGAGAACCTGCACTCAGATTTCATTCGCAGGATGCTCTCTGCAGAGTGGGGCTCCTCATCTCGAGCAAACTCTTCACGCGGAAGCTCGAGGAACAGTTCGAAGCACATGTCCACATCCAGATCAGGCGCAGAGGCAGGCCACCACCAGAGGACCCAGGAAGACTCAACCCATATCCAACAGCCGGTGGTCGAAAGCCAGCATCATGCTACTTGGAACCTAAGGGGGCTGGTGGACACGTCAGGCAGGGCGAAGAAAAGAAGGGTGAAGAGTTGGCTACACGAGTGGAAGGTGAACTGCCTGCTGATCCAGGAGTCTAAATTCAATGAGACAAAGCTGGCAGAGCTGGGAAATTGGTGGGAAGGGCCGCAAGTATGGGCCCCGGCACAAGGCACAAGAGGCGGGGTTGGAATCCTCCTCCACCACGACCTGCAGGTCAAAGTGTTTGAGTCGGAAGATGACATATGGGGGAGATGGGTGTGGATCACGATGGAAGCGGGCGTTGAAGAATGCCCGATTATGACAGTGTATGCACCCACGGACAGAAGGGAAAGAGTGAATTTCTTTGTGAATCTGATGCTTCATATTCCAAAAGTAGAAAAGCTAATTATTGCAGACGACTAGAACCTGGTCGTAGATGAAGTTCTGCAATCAAACGGGGGGTCAACATCGAATCGAAGAGATGCCCAGACTCTTCTAGAACTGGCAACAGAGCTGGAGTTATTGGATCCCTTCAAACTGTTGGCGCCGGAAGATCCAGGTTACACCTAGGTCTCCCACATGCATAGAGACAGGCGGCTGGTAACAAAGAGAAGGCTATACTATTTTTTGGTGAGCAGCGTAGCATTGGAGTCGGTCACATCAGTGCAGCAAACCTGCCACCCAGACTCATATCATGATCATAAGCCAGTGTTGGCGGAACTGAAGTTGCACTCAGCAGTGGAGAGGAGTAAGGGCTTCTTCCGGCTGAACGCCCAGAATCTAAAGGATCTCGGCATTGCGAAGTGGCTAAAGAACCACATGACAAGCTGGGAATCAGCAAAAAAATGGTTCCCTTCGGCTGTAGATTGGTTGGACAACGGTTTAGCCATTGCTTCTGGAGTCATGCATGTGTGCTCAAGGATCTTGGCCAAGTCTCGTAACCAGAAGGAAGCAGAATGTAGAAGGAGGTTAGAAGAGGCAGAGGAAAGAATGGAAGGGCATCCGATTTCGGCATTAGTGTGGGCTTCAGAGAGGGAAAGGAGATTGGTGGAGTGGGACAGTATGCAAGAAGACAAGGAGAACAAATGGTCGGAGCTTCTGAGGGAGAAAGGGATAGAGGTGCATGACAAGATGACCAAGGAAACCTTCCAGCGGCTTCAACCAAGAAGTCTCCAACATTAGATGATAGAGTTGCGCCACCCCTTTGATGCCAACGCTCCGAGGTTCTCCTCCACCTCTGGTATGCTATCACATGCAAAGTTGTACTACGAGGACATCCTAACAACACGACGTCCAAACGAGGATGTTAACACATAGTATCTGTTTGAAATATGCGACATGTGGGAGGACACCACAGTTAGTTTGTCCACATCTACTAGACTGGACCTTGATAGGCCAATCACATTGGCTGAAACTTCTCAGACATTGAGGAAAATGGTGAGAGGAAAATCACCAGGGGTGGATGGGTTGACGGTGGAGTTTTATGTGAAGAACTGGGGAATCTTGAGACCAACTTTAGTGGACCTGTACAATGAGGTTTTGACAGATGGCAGATTGGGAAGAGGTATGACTCATGGAGTCATATCTGTGTTGTTCAAGAAGGGGGACAAATCTGATGTCAAAAATTTGCGTCCTATCTCGCTACTGAATGTCTCCTACAAGATCTTGGCAAAGACTCTCGCACAGGGGTTTGCCAAGTACCTACCAGAGTTAGTAGGAGGAGATCAAGGTAGATTTGTGCAGGGGAGATTTATCTTCAAGTTTAACAACATCATTACGACCATAGAGGTGTAGGAAGTCATGCAGTCTGAGAATCTGGACACGGCAGTCTTACTCATCGACCTAGAGAAGGCGTATGACAAGGTTGGATGGACCTTTGCCATGACAAACCTTCGTAGGACGGGTTTCGACAAAGGCTTCTGCAAATAGGTAATCAGCATGTACACTACAGCAACGTCAGCAGTTATGATTAACGGATATCTTTCTGATCCTTTCCGACTTTCATGATCCCTCAGCCAAGGGTGCCCTTCCCCTCTTGTTTGTGCTACAGATGGAAGTGCTCCTGAACAAAATACGAAGGCATCCACATTTAAGGGGAATCCAACTCCACAGTGGGGCGGAGTGTAAAGTGAAGGCGCTTGCTGACGACGTGTTCGCCGCGTGTGACAACTCAGTGGAGTCGCTGTCAGCAATGAAGGAAATCATGTCAGAATACTCAACCCTGTCTCAGTTAATTGGAGTAAATCCACTTAGTACCTCCTGCCAAATAACTATGTGATATAGGTAGAGTGGGGGATGAAGAGAGTAGAGGAGGGGAAAGAAAAACGTTTCTTAGGAGTTCTAATCAGTCTGCAAGTGGAGTCCACTGCACACAGCCTACTATTGCAGCATAGGATAGCTGCAAGGCTATAGCTTTGGGGAACAGCATGACACCTCTCAATCATAGGGTGCACGCTAGTTTCTAATGCGGAACTTCTCTCCATCCTCTAGTTTGTCTCCCCAGTACGCGAGTTGGCGGAAGAAATCCTCACGGCAATCCGAAGACTGGTGGCACGTTTCCTATGGAAACCAAGATCCAAGTAGAATGAAGGGTTCCTGATAAAGGTTGCGTGAGAAACTTTTACGTTCCCACACGAACAAGGTGAACTGGGTTTTATGGGTCCCACAAGGAGGAATCAAGCCCAACTCAGAGCCTAGATAGGCAAAGTGACAACGGCAAACTCCAAGGAGCTTTGGGTAGAGCTGGCAGAGAGAATTTTGATGCATGAGTGGGAGTTGAGCAGAACAGAGGACGTATGGGTCTGCTTCTTCATGGATTCATTCAGAAGAAAGAAGTTGAAATCCACATTCTGAAATGCAGTTAGAAAAGCATGGAACAAGCTACCTCCGGACGCACAACGAGTACCACAGACCAAGGAAAAAGTACTACTGCAACACCTGTTCGAGAATCCTTATATCAAGGATCAATCAAATAACACCTTCAAAGCGAAGGGATCAACAAGTTCCTTCAGGCTGGCATGGGTGCGCAGGGGAAGGGTACGCATCAGAGACCTATGGTCAGGGGAAGGGTACGTATCAGAGACCTATGGTCAGGGGAAGGGTACGCATCAGAGACCTATGGTCTCTCTTCCTTGGAAAATGGGCGCCGCTGCATGAAACGAAGGAAAAAATGCAAGGACTCAGAAGGGTAGAGGAACATTTGCATAGCATTCAGTCGGCTATCCCACGAGAATGGAAGGACCTCTTAGGACCGGAAGGTGTAGACCCACCAGGGGCATGGTACTCCGCAGCAGAAGAACTGGAATCGGACGTGGTGTGGAAGGTCATCGAAACACTAGAAAGCAGGTTCAGAAAGGTCGAGAGGTGGAAATGTGAGAGTCACTCTAACAAGCTTCGACGAATAAATGAATAAATCATTATGCTATGGAATAATCCTCAGCAAATAAGAGTAGTTGAGGTATCCGAAAAGAAAAAGTACATGAAAACACTCACATGGATCGGCACGGTTCCCCTCTGCAAACTCAGCATCGATCCACATGCATGGGGTTGGAAATCCCAGGATGCATAGAACGACCTTTCCCTCCTCAACT